GGGGCCAAGATAAGAATATTTGAAACTGTTAGGGGCCTCGGGTTCAAGGACAAGGGCTCTCAACCAAAGAGGAGAAGAGGACGTCAGGGCTGCGTTCTGGAAAAGACTCTGACGCCAGCTCTCCAAGGGGAAGAAGACCCAGCCCGATGCCGTACTTCTCTCCATGGGGAAACTGAGGCTCAGAGAGTGAGGGAGGCTCCCCGACAAAGGTGTGCTCGGGTTCAAGCCGTCCCGGAGGAGGTGTGCACATGCGTGCACGGTGCCTGCGAGCCGGCAGACTGAACGCCCCCAGCCAGAAATGGCATGAGAGTGCTCACAGTTTGTCTTTATTTTTTTCTAGCTTGATGAAAAAGTTGCAGAACAGAGAGAACAGTAACTTCCACTTCAGTTCTCATAGCTAGCTTCCTGTACTTCTGGCGCTTTTGCCATTTCTACCAGTGAAGGAAGGTCTTCCCTCGCTGGGAAGCTGATGAGGGACAAGTGTCCTCCCCGTGTGCTGGCATCTCCCACCCTCCCCCCCCCCCCGGGGACTTCCCCAGGCTCACACGGTGGCTCCAACACTCAGTTCCCAGCTCACAACTCTTTGTCCTCTGTCCTCTTCTTCCCCGTCCTGAGGCCTTAGCACCTAGATCGGGGAGCTAGAGACAGGAGAGGAGAGTGGACAGGGTGTGGCTTGGCTTGGTTGACAGTGGTCAGCTGCCCACGCAACCAGGTGAAAACCAACCAAAGGGGGTTCTCCTCCTACCTCCCCCGTCTCTCCCAGGAGGATTGCATGTGGGTGGGACAGGGGGTTGTTTTCTGGGACCCCAGAGGGGAGGTCCTATTAAACAAAAGCCCGCCTGGGAGAAGGGGTGAGTGAGTGTGGGCATCAACCAGGGTGAGCCCCCCACCCTGGGAGCCCTGGAGGTGGAGATAAGCCCAGCTGGCGCGTGGTACAGCTCCAGCCCCTGGCCAGCCTGGCGCAAAACGGAGAACCTGACCCTAGGATGGATGGTCTCAGCTCTAGTCAGGCGGGCCTGGGTTCGAATCTCAGTTCTGCCGCCTAAAAGTTGCCCAGCACACTGGGCAAGGCCCCGGGCCTCTGTGAGGCTGCTTCCTCCTCTGTAGAGCGAGAAGAATTTAGCAAATATTTAACAAGTAGCCCCTGTGTGCCAGGTGCAGTAGCAAGTGAGAAAAAGCACTTACATCCTTGGGGAAAGAGAGAGAGAGCTGTTAGTCAAATGACCACAGATCCATGGGACAGTGCTGAAGGGTGATGATAGCGCCCACTTGTTGTGTGGGGAGGGTTAACGCAGCTCATCTAAGCACACGGAGGCCTTCGGAACCGCCAGCTGTTACTAACCCAGCCCCTCCAGTGGCGTCTCATGCACTTGATAAAATGGAATTGTGCTTTATATTTTTCCAGCACTTTAAATTTTCAAAAGCATTTTCCGCACATGAGCTCGTCCAACCTTCCCAATAACCCTGGCTGGCAGGTAGTGCTTTATTTTCCCCAACTTCTCCATGAGGTGACTGCCGCCCAGGGACGCTCAGTGACTTCCTCAGAGGCTCCAGCAAGGAGATCCAGGGTTTGACGCCCCCTCAGCTGTTAAAGGGAGGGGCTGGACAGCACTGAGCCCTGGGACGGGAGGGGGCGGGAAATGAGCGGTTTCCCGGCCTCCTGCCGGCCGGCCAGCGGACCGGGATGTGCTCCAGCGGCCGACGTTCCGCTGCATGACCGCCGCCCTCCGGGGCCCCGCAGCGGCCAAGGCCGAGGACTCCGGAGGGACCCGGCTGGGGCTGCGCGTCCTTCCACTCCAGCCCACGCGCCCGCTTCCGGAAGGGTCTGGGCCGGCCCTCTCCAGCCGAGAGCCAGAGGCCGCCAGGCGGGCACCCGGGGCGAGAGATCGCGGCTTGTCCTGCTCCCCTGTGCGCCCCGCAGAAGGCCGACCTTACAGGGCGCCACGACCCCAGCACTTGGGCATCGGGGCATGGGGAGCCCCGGGGGCGCCCCCCCTCCTTCTCGGTTCCCGGGACCCCGGCGGCGCCCACTCGTCTTCCCTCCTCCACTGGGCGCCGGGGGCGTGCGGTGGGCAATCGCTTCAAACGTCAGGGGCACGGCGCCACCCCGCACCGGGACGCCGGCCCTTCTCCCGGGGCTCCGGACGCGGTGGGGGAGGGGGGCGGGGAGCGGGGGGCGGGGCGGGGGAGGGGAGGATCAGGAACCTGACGCGCAAGGGGCCTGAACACTAAGCAGGAAAAGGAAGGGCTGAGATGGGAACTGGCACGAAGGGTCTCTCGTCCCCTACCCCAGCCAGTCTTGTGGCTGCCTGCCCAGGGGTGTGGGCCGCCTCCCTGCCGTACCCACCACCGCGGGTGAGTGTAGACTCACCTCTGGAAACAGACCATCTCCCCCACAGCCCTCCCAACCAGGCTGGGGGCGGTGGGGGTGGCTTTCAGTAAAGCACCCGGCTGTGGGCCCTGCCTCCAAGTCTGTAAAATCAGGAGGAGGAAGTGAGGGACTCCCCTCACTTCGGAGCCTGCAGGGGAAGTGGTCACGACCCGGTGCACCATACGCGTGGCACCCACTCTCGGTCAACTGTGCAGAGGGCGGGGTCTCCACCCCTAGTCGTGAAGGTAGATTACTTACAGTGCCGGTTGTTTGTACACGGCTTTCAGTTTGTAAACCCTTCTTCCATATACTTCATTGGATCAGTGTGTGAGTCAGCTGCCTGGGTTCGAGTCCTGCCCCCACCATCCACTCACTGTCCGATCGCACTTGGATGAACTTGGACCACTGGTTTCACCGCCCCGTGCTCAGCTTTCTGCTCTGTGAAACAGGGCTGGCACTGGAACCCACCCGGCTGGGCTATGGCTGGGTTTTCGGCAGGACGGAGGGACTGGCACATGCACTGTGCTTGCTCCCTGCTCCCTGGAAGCAGTTACAGCAGAGCCCCTGCTGTGGCCACCTGGGAGCCCCCTTCATAGATGGACTTTCCGCACTCCTCTGGTGTCAGAGGGGGAAGGAATCTTAAAGCAGCACTTCTTGACCCTGGCCCACAGCCCGCCCCCTAGAGATCTTGCTGAAATGCAGGCCCCCCGCTCAGTGGGCAGGGGGACCAGGGACGGTCTGAGACCCTGCAAGTCTGCCCAGCTCCCTGCTGATGCTGCCGCCAAAACACCCTTTCGGCAGGCCTTAGAGCAGTGGTTTGCAAACTGGACCATGAGTCCGAATCGCCTGGAGGGCTTGTTAGAACAGATCGCTGGGCCCCGCTCCCAGAGTCTCTCATGCAGCTGGTGTGGGGTGAGTGAGGCCCCAGGACTGGCATGGCCGACAGTTCTCAGGTGCTGCCGACGTCGCGGAGGACAGAGAGCCTCTGTTTTAGAGCATCCTGCCCACTCCTAAGGTCAAGTTGGGGCGGGGGGGTGACGCTGGTGGTGGTGAGCTGCATGGCAGAGGTCATTAAAGAGCCAAAGGCAGCTTCTTACACTTTGGGGATACAAAAAAGTAGCGAGGGGTGAGGAGGTTGGCACCTGAGTCTGGGAGCCGAGAACCCTCCCAGTTCTCAGGGGGTTAAGACACTGGGAGGAACGGTAAAGGGACAGCGTGGGTTCTTTCCCAGCATCCTTTGAAAATGAGAGAGACAGGGAAAGGCTGCCCCCCTGCGTGAGGACAGAATGGAGGGAACCGAAGCCCTCGAGACTCATGTCTTCCCATTCGGGGGGCCCCCCTCTCCTCAGACAACCAGGAGAACCGACGGAAACCGGAGGGAGCCAGCAAGGCCCGCAAGGAGCGGACAGCGTTCACCAAGGAGCAGCTGCGGGAGCTGGAGGCGGAGTTCGCGCACCACAACTACCTGACGCGGTTGCGGAGATACGAGATCGCCGTGAACCTGGATCTCTCCGAGAGGCAGGTAGGAGTCCAGGGGGGGGGGGGCCCTCCTCTTCTGGGCATTGCTCCTTTCCTCGGCCCTCCCCTCTCCCTTCCCTCCCTGAATCTTCTCCTTTTCCTTCTCTCGCTGCCCCATGCAGTGGATCTCAACTGCGGCTGCATCTGAGAATCGCCTGGCGAGATGTTCCTGGCTGAGGAGGGTGGCTGATGGGACAGGGGTGTGGTGCAGGCATGAGGGTTTTTAAAGGTCCCCCAGGTCGTTCTCACATGCAGCCAGCACTGGAGCTCCTGACCTGGTGATTCCCCCACTTGCGTGTGCATGGGGATCCCCTAGGTGCTTGTTTCAAATGCAGATTTTGGAGCTCCAGAGAGCGACTTTGCAGTAATAAAGCGTGTAGGCCTGGGATCTGCATTTCTAATCCGTCCTCCAGGTGGTTCCGGTAGGCGGCGTTTCCCGGGCACGCGCTGCGGAAGAACTTCCTGGCCCTTTGTTTCGGGCTTTCCCGCAGAGCATCCCGCCCACGCCCAGGCTCTGACGCAGAGTGCGCACAGGAGCGTGATGATAATGGCGTTAATACGAGCTGGCAGCTCTCGGCTGCCAGCGCTCTGCCGCAGTACTGGGTTTAGAATTGGCAGACTTAGATTCAAACCCCGCTTCTTACCGCTTGCTAGCCCTGTGACCCTGGGGTCATTGGGGTCATGTCGCCCCCGCTCTATGGGTCTCCACCTGTAAAACAGGTCACAACCCCTGATTACCTTCAGGGAATGCTGCAGCTCAGGTGAGACAGTGTGCAGACCAGAGTGGTAGAAGCTGGGCAGTACTTTGTCAATGTGCCTAAGGGCGAGGCCAGCGTCCTCTGTTCTGGGCCTGGGAAAGGGGGCGGGGCCAGCGGAGAAGGACTTGTAGAACCTGTTCTCATGTCTGTCTAGGGCTTTTTTTCTGTTATCTGGAGACACAAGACAGACCTCGGGGCAGATAGGTGTGTCCTCCCTTGGGTCTCAGTCCCTGGAGCCTTTGGGGGGGTGAGGAGGGGCAGGCAGTGGGGTCCCTGGGGCTGTGCCCCGACTGGCTTGAGCATCCACTGGGGCGATGGGTGTAGTGACCCCTCCCCTTTGTTTCCTTCGCCAGGTCAAAGTGTGGTTCCAGAACCGCAGGATGAAGTGGAAGCGTGTGAAGGGCGGTCAGCCCGTCTCCCCTCATGGGCAGGACCCCGAGGAGGGCGACTCTGCAGCCTCTCCAGGCTCGGAGTGAGATTCTCCACGGAGAACAAAAGACTGAGGACTGGTCCCCCACCCAGCTCCCCCGACCCCAGTCCCCTCACCCTCTCCCACCTACCCCAGGGCAGCCTCGCCACATCGTGCAGTGACTTTTGGATATGAGGCTGCCCGGCGTTCCTGGGAGCCTTGAAGTTTTCCAGAAAATTCTGTCCAGCATTGCTCTGTCTTAGCAGCGCTTTCCCCAGGGCCTTTGCTTCTCACAGTTCTTGTGGAATCTTCCAGCGGCCAGACCGGACCTGAGTGAATCCAGGGGGACAACTGCAAGGACACTGCTCCTCAGGGTCTCTCGGCTGCTGCCGCCACCTCCTGCCACCACCCTCCTGCCACCTGCCAGGCCTCCTCCAGGTCTGACACCACCTGGCTTGCAGGGAGAAGAGCCTTGGGACCTGCTGGTGACTCCTGAAAGCTAATGCTTCTAAAGAAAAGGGTGACTGAGACACACATGCACACACCTAGACCACCTTTCCTTTCCGGCTGTACATCTGAGGGTTTGGGGGTCCTGAGTTGTCCCCAAAACCCCAGGAGAAGTCAGTGCGAGGAGAGTCGAGGACTGAAATTCAGCTGCTGCAAATCAGAAACCATCCCTGTCTCCAAATTTGCTGGCGGTCAGGTGGGCAAGTTTATTAGCACTGGGAGCAGACAGGAAAACGGGCTGGTGCAAGTGTCTGCAGGCCTGTCGGCCCCGCCCCGTTCACACTGGCTTCGCTGGGGGCGTTGGAGGGATGCGGGTGAGAATGGACCCAAGACACCACCTGCGTCTTCAACACCAATTCAGGAATACAGCTGGGACTGCTGAGCGGTGCCCAGAGCCACGGAGCAGCTCTTCCTTTTAAAGCCACAGTTTCTGTGTTGAAAAAGCATGCAGAGGCTCACATCATTGAGCCGAGGGCTGGAAAGTGTCCACTGTGTTCTAGGGCTGCTGGGTGAAGGCCTAGAAATGCTGAACCCTGGAGAGGAAGGTTCTCCAGCTGCAGTGTCCTGTGCTTTCAAAAGACTCCGGCTGCAAAGGAGGCAGAAAACAACAAAACAGTCGCTCTTTCTCCGCGGGATGCATTTGAGCCCCTCCCATGGGTTCCATAGATGCTGTTATCGGGGGAGGCACTGCTAAGTTTACGTGCGTGGACTGCCCACGTCCTCTGGGGTGACACCCCAGGACCGATGGCCAAACAGGCTGGGGCAACCGAAGCCTCGGAGAGACCCCCTGCCTGCCCAGTGCTCTGTCTCCCAACACCAGCTGCTGTCGCACAGGGAGGTCAGCAGGAGTTTGCATCTCTTGTATGTATATTTAATCATTCACTTGTAGAGAGAACCCCACCTCCCCATCCCCAAGGACGACTGTTGTGGGAAATGATTGCCAAATGAGATGCCGGTTAGAGCATGCGTCGTTTTTTCTAAGGCATACTTCATGTATTTTCTTAAGATTGCATCAAGTTAACTGTGCAAGGTCAAGTCACTTAGTAAGAAAACTCTTGGAGAAATAAAATCAGTTACAAAGCGAAGTGCCCAAGCCTTCTTCTGTGCAGAGCTTAGGAGCTCAGCTCTGAGTGTAACCCTCCGATGCTCTCATGGGGGTGGGCCAATGTCTGGAAGCAACAGAAAAAGGGAAGAAGTTGTCTAGAATAAGGGAGCCCCCCTTAGGTCCTTTAAAATGTGGGGGTGTGAGTGTAACCATTGCAAAAACAAACAAACAACAAGAACAACACTTTCTCCCATGTACAACTGCATTGTCTTTATCCCTCCTTGTAAAAGTTTAGCTTTCAGCTCCTCTACCCTATGGCTAATCAAACAGTCAAACTTCTGTAAACAAAAGATGAACTCTTGTTAATAAAGGAATCTTGACCATAAACTAGCCAATCTAATTTTTCTTCTCACCTGAGGACATATTTCCATTGATTTTAGGGGCGGGGGGAGAGAAACATTAATGCGAGAGAGAAACGGTGATTGGTTGCCTGGCACCCCAACCAGGGATTGAACCCACAACCTAGGCATGTGCCCTGCTGGGAGTTGAACCAGCAACCCTTCGATGCATAGAACGACACTTCAATCCACTGAGCCACATGGCCAGGGCGCCATCCCTAATTTTCAAAATATAAGTTTGGAGGTTTTGTTTTTCAGGGTAAAGCAATATACCTCAATAGTAATAAAAATGACACCAGAAAAAAATATCCTTTATGTTATGACTTTTTAATCAAGAAAGATTTGTCTCACTGAGGCGTCAATAACCGACACAATAGGACTGGCTGGAGAGGGGAGGGAGGGAGGCATCTCCCAGAGGAGACCTGGCCGGGATTTGAAGCGGTCTGGGCCAGCTGTGGGCAGAGACCAGGAATGACATCATCGGGAGCTGGCAGAGGAAAGCAGAGCCACCGAAATCGAGGTGCCAAAGGGGAGGTTCAGGTTCAAAGCCCAGCAAAACAGACCCTTCAGGTACTCTAACACTCCCTGCTAACTGGAGTCCAGTGGCCTCAGAGGGCGTCGACCTCTCTGGGTCTGCCTGGGCTGTCCGGAATGTTCCTTCTCTGTCTCCTGCGCAGAGCCCTTTCTCACCGTACCGCCGGCTCCCGAGGTCTCTTTCTGCCCACCGCCCTCCCCTCTGCGGGCTCTCCCCAGATGCTGCCGTCCACCGGCATCCCTTCCGTTGTGGTAAAACACGCACGACATACAACTGGAACCATTGCACGTGGACAGTTCTAGGCCATTAAGTCCCTTCACATCGCAGTACAACCTTGGACACTGTCCTCTCTGGAACATCTTCATCTTCCCAAACTGAAACTCCCTTCCCTCCTCCCTTCCAGCCACCTGCCATCATGCCGTGTGCACGCGGTGTGGGGCGCAGTTCTAAGAGGCACTGCCAGTGTTCCCGTCTCACAGACGCGATGACTAAGGCAGAACGCAACTCCCAGGGTGTTACAGACGGTTAGTGGTGGTGGTGGTGGAGTGTGGGATGGGGCCCAGTGCTCTTCCTTCCCGTCCATCCACCATCAGCAGGTGCTGTCCCTGGGGCCGGGGCAGGGGGGGGGGGCATGCCTCCCTGCCTCCTGGACCCCAGGCTTGTCCATGTGACCTGCTCCAGCCAATAGAAAGTGAGCAAAAGCGCTGGGCGGGTCTAAGGAGAAGTGTGAGCGCCATCCTGCGTCTCTGTCGTTGCTCTTTGCCCTCTGAACTTGGCTAAAACGGGTTCCCCCGAGAGCCTGGGCTCCAGACCCCCATTACCTTTTTACAGGGTCCGGCAGAAGTGACGCCTGCTTGAGTGCTACGCCTGCTCGAGTGTGGCTGGTAGGGTCATAATAGGGGCGTGATAATTTATAGTTTTAATTTGAACATTTCACCTATAATATCATACGGTGCGCTTCAGTGTGATATTGTTATGTTACAGAATTGCATGCTTACAATTTTGTAATGAGAGAGTTGGTAATAAAAAAAAGGGGCCTTACTTCTGCCAGACCCTATATGTCAAGGAGGACATAAACGTCTCTCGTAAGCCACTGGGATTTGGGGGGTCCTTTGTTGCTGCCTCACCGCCTCACGCAAACCGACCGCCCCAGCGATGACTCTGGGATTCGAACCCCTGGGCCCGATCTGGGAGCTTAAGGTTTCATATTCCTCTGCCTACTGCCCTTTGCTACCCGGATGACCCCAGGCACTGCAAAATCAAAATGCCTGAAGGGAAAGTCTCCATTCCCCTGATGAGGCTCCTTGGCCTGCATTCTGAATCCTGTACGGTAGGTAGATGGCAACACAAAAAGCTACCCATTTACTCACACTAGAAACCTGGGCATGTCCTCTACGCTTTGCGCCAGGGCACATTGAGGGCCGTCCGGTCAGGGGATTAAATGTCCTGGCCCATCCATCAAGCGTTTTCCAGTTTCTCTCAAACACTCCCTGTGCTCCTCCCACTCCTCGGCGTTGGCGTCAGATTCACCAGCTCCGGGTGAACGGTCACTGGGACCCGTTGCTCCTCAAGCTGGTAAAAACCCTCTGCTTTTGCTGGGGTGCACATCTGTACCAGGGAAGCAAGGCCACCCCACTGGTGACTCCCTGATGTGAACCGGTGACTGTGCCCAGAAATAGTGGTGTGGGAGGAACCCCAGCAACCAAGAACTCCCAGACAGTAACTCGCCGGGAGTGGGTTTCTCCATCCTTGAGAGAGCATCGTGGACGAGCAAGGGGGCGGCTGCCCTTTGGAGGGAGGTGGAGCGAAGGAAGAGATGCATGGAGTACAGAACCCATTTCTAAGTCCGAGGGCCTGGGTGGGGGCGGGGGAGTGGCTGATGCTCAGAGCTTCAGAACGCTACCCACCTGCCGGGGCCGGGCCCTGTGCGGGCAGCATGGCTTTCGACAGCTCTCGTACCCGAAGAAGAGAAGCGGGGTCGGACAGAGATCCACTCTTTCCTGGACCCCCAGCGGACCGCAGCTCCAGTAAGCGGGAGAGCCTGTGGTGGGTGGCTTTCTTTCTTCCACGGAGTGGAAATGTTTTCCATTAAGCGCTATATAATCTCCAGCCAAGGAGGGGGCCCTGTGCCAATTAATCCCTCACAACTATCAAATGTGGCGATTGTGGGTTGCCTCCTCTCTGGGCCACGTGGCCCGGGGCCCTCACCAGGTTCCTTGGCCCACTGGTCAGCTTCTGGTCAATTCACTGGTCAACTCACTGGTCAATTTGAAGAATAGACATCTTCAAAAATATCTCGAATCCATGCCCTTCCTGGATGCCACCATCATCCCTGGCCACTGCTCTCCTTCTAGCTCTGCCTTCCCACCTCATCCGTGTTCCCTCGTGGCCTTTATCACTACTTACAGTTCTTCTATCTGTTGTTCCCTTGTTCATTTGTGGTCTGCTTCACACGCTGGAGGGAAGAAAAGGAGACGTATTTCTCTGAGCATTGTATTCCCAGCTACTAACCTGATGCCTGGCACACAGTAAGTGCTCAATAGATAGTTATGGCATGGATGGGTGGGTGGGTGGATGGGTGGGTGGGTGGATAGATGGGTGGGTGAATGGGTGGGTGGGTGGATGGATGGGTGGGTGGATGGATGGGTGGGTGGATGGATGGGTGGATGGGTGGGTGGATGGGTGGGTGGATGGGTGGATGGATGGATGGGTGGATGGGTGGATGGGTGGATGGGTGGATGGATGGATGGGTGGGTGGATGGATGGGTGGATGGGTGGGTGGGTGGATGGATGGGTGGATGGATGGATGGGTGGGTGGATGGATGGGTGGATGGATGGATGGGTGGGTGGATGGATGGGTGGGTGGATGGATGGGTGGGTGGATGGATGGGTGGGTGGATGGATGGGTGGGTGGATGGGTGGGTGGATGGGTGGATGGATGGATGGGTGGATGGGTGGATGGGTGGATGGGTGGATGGATGGATAGGTGGGTGGATGGATGGTTGGATCGGTGGATGGGTGGATGGGGGATTTGTTAAGTTAGTGGCACTGCCTGGCTTCTCAGGACACAAGTGCCTACTGCTGGCCATGTGGACCACATAGGGGAAGCTCCGGCCCCAAAGCTGGTCAGACTGGCTGGCTTCAAGCAGCCCAGACCTTTAGAGTCCACCAGGTCTGGCAGGCCATACCCCTAAAAAAGGGGGCAGTGAATAATACCCTAGTTCCATAGCCCGAAGAAGCTGTCTCTGATTCTGGCCCCAGGACTAAGATTCTCTGTCATTCACGCCCCCACACACCCCGCCCCCACCCTCTGAGCCCTGAGCCCTGTCTGAAGTCTGAATGAGTCCCTTCCCTTTGACCTGCAGTTGCAAAGAAACAGCGTCCAGGGCCTGACCAGATAAGAGGCTTGTGAGCAGCTTACGCACGTCTCTGAGGGTGCTGCTTAATAGCTGGAAGGTGACATCAGGGTCGGGACTAATATCCGAATGAACAGAAAGAGACATGACCTAACTCGTCTCTCACCATGGGCCTGGCTGCGAGAGCTTCTCATTCTTTATTAATTTTCTAACCGGGGCTGCTGGCTCAGGGCTCCAGCCTGTCCCCAGAGCTGGGGCCCACGGCTGGGCTTAACTCCAGCGTTGCTGGGAAGGGAGCAGGCTCGGCTGGGCCCGAGGGCCCCCCGGGAAGGGCGGCTGCCACCGAGACTGCGCTCCCGCTGGCCAGAGCCCGGCGGCCGGTTTCCCCCCGCCACCCAGCCGATGTGCTGCGCTTTGAGAAAATCCAGGAGGGCAAATTTGAATTCCGCGAGAGAATTCCTCACGGTACAGAACAAACGTGCTGCAGGTTTTCATCAAGCAGCAGGCTTCCCCGGTGCCTGTAAAGGATGGTTTTATTTGTGGCTGTGTTTTTTTTTTTTTAATGATTTAAACCCAGTGTTGCAGGAACACAAATCCCGTCTAGAGCACCCAGTGCACCTGGCTGGAGAGCTGCCGGCCTCTGTCCGAGCTGAACGCCGCCGGCTTGGTGGGAAAGCGCTCTTTTCAGATTGTTTTCTTTTAACATATTCTTCACGGCAGGAGGCGGAACCCTTGCTCCTTATCACCTTCC